TTCTTAACTTTTAATTGGGAGATATACTGTAAATATTAAATATGTGTGTGTGTGTATATACCACACATATATATGTATATATACACACACACACATTTTACATACACACACATATGTACATAAATAGAAAATATATACTGTTTAAAGACCTAAAATAAAAGAACATCCATGCATGGAGCACACAGCCCAAGAAACAAATATTACCTGAAGTCTCGGCCCTGCCCCGCCAGGGATAATCACTTTGCTGAACTGGGGGTTAATCATTTCTCTTTTTGTCTTCCTAGTTTTATGAGGCATGAATGCATCCCCAAGCAGTGTATTGTTTAGTTCTGCTTGTTTTTCAACGTGATCTAATCGGAATCGAGGAATCACACGGTGAGTATTTTATGTCTTGCTTTTCCGGCTCTGTGCGTGTAGAGCCTTCCTTCCTGACGTGTGTAGCTGGGTGGAGAAGTAGTCCGGTGCAGGACTTACTTACTTACTCTTATTGTTAGTTGTTATCTGGACTATTTCTAGTTTGTCCTATGCTGCCAGGAAAACTCTAATGAGAGTGGCTGGCCTTTTAAAATGCCCCTCCTCCAGAGCCCCAGGGTTTGCCTCTGTACAGAATACCAGGCCTGTAGCTAGATAGCTAGAGTTCTGGGAGTTCCCTGCAACCACGAGAAGATGGGATTCCCAGGGGTCCCTCTGCTCCCTGGCCCGGCCTCACTCACACACAGAAGCCTTCTGCTCTGAACCTGAGATTCCCCACCCCTGCTCTAACAGCAGGGAAAACAATGGCCTTTTCAGAGGCAGTCCGGATTTCTGAGTCACACCCCTCTCCCTACTATCTGCCCCCTTCTTCCCAGGTAAGAGAACAGAGTTCTCAATGAAAGGGCTCCATTGATGGGCCACAGGGCGTGAAAGCGTGAGAGCCGGAGCAGGAGGGGGCCAGGCTCTGCCCTGCCATCTGGCCCACACGGTGCTCACACTTGCCACATGGCTACAGGGGGAACAAAGGAAACCGGACCGTGGTCAGGGCCAGGCGTGTTTCCCTCTGTTACATATATTGTTCCATTTAAGGCTCATATAATTTTAAAGGTGGAAAAACAACAACAAAAGATGACTAACACTTCTGAGTCCACACCGTACGCCACTGTGCTGAGTGCTTCAGATACCTCATCCCAGTGGGTCATAACCCATGACAGGGGTGAGGAAATTAATTTAGGAGGTTAGGACCAGCATCTAAACAAAAGGAAACAGACAAGACTGGAAGGAAGATGAGAATACTAGAGCGTGTCCCGTAAACTAAGGGTAAGTACTGTTCTGTGAATTCTTTCTGTTCCTTATGTTCACATATATTTCTCTCTCTGCACTGGGTCACAATGTAAACTATATATCTCTCACTGTGGATAGAGGCTAAAAAATCTTAAAACACCCTTTCTTGTCTCATTTATTTCATAACCATCCTGACGTAGGTTCAGTTACTAACCTAATTTAACAAGGAAATAACTGCAGCTACTTCCTCGGCTTCATCTGGGCCACACAGCTCGGTCACCAACCACCCACCAGCCTCCCGCTGCTCTGTTTCTCTTTCCTCCCCCAGAACACGTGCTGCAGCCTCAGCCCGGGGCATTCTCCCCGCCCCTCTCACCAGCTCTTTGCACAGCTGGTTCCTTTCCATCCTTCAGGCCTCAGCTTGGGGGTCGTGTCCACAGAGCCCTGGTCCCCAGCCCGAGCAGCCCCTCTCCTGTTCACGGCCGTGTCGATGTGTCTCCTTGTTGCTGTCTGACCTCCCCACTACGACTCCAAAGGAGGTAACGTCTGATGCCCTCGCCTGTGTGTACCTGGCAGCAGGCATTCCCTAATCTGTTGGTTGAATACAGACACTCAAGTTCTCACAATTGGTAAATGGCAAAGCCAGGATCCCAGCCGGGGGAGGGCGGACCCCTTGACCCCTGCACTATATATGAAAACTACGAAACAGCACCAGTAAGTGTTAGCGCTTGGCTGGGTCGGACTTCGACGCCTGTGCTCTACTGGTCAACGGGGTAGGGGGGCCATGAGGGCCTCGCTGAACAGCCTTTTGTGGTCGGCTGAGAACTTGGAAGGGGTGAGTGAGGAGACAGCAAAACCTCAGGCTAGAAGAGAAGAAGTCTGCCAAAGAACAGAGAAATACCAGAAGAAGTCCTCAGAGCAGCCAGCTGAGAAATGAGCTGGTGACTGGGACTGGAGAGGCGGGGCCGAGAAGCCTGAGAACCAAGGCCAAAGGAATACCCTGGCCGTGCTGCCACCTCGTGGCTGTGGAATGCTTGGCCCACAGGAAACAAAAGAGAGGTGGGCTGGTCTGTGGGTTCATTCTTCAGGGGTCATTTACTGAACACCTGATGCAGGCCTGGCTGCTGGGGCCTGGAAATGAGTCTGACTAGGCTCCAACGTCCAAGGACCGCTGTTCCCTACATCCGGGCAGTGACCCAACCCTGAGAGGTTTACTTCCCCCTTTTCACAGTAGCTTGTGGGGTGCCCCCTCCCCAAAACAAGACTGAGCGGGCAGAGATGACCTCTCATTCATCGCTGAAGCTCCAGCACCCAGCACTGGGCCCAGCACATCAGAACAGTTACAGCGGCTACAATTTAATAGGTGCTAAGTGCTTCCAAAGACAACGCATCAGTTCCCACATTTTACCTCTGAGGTACTTACGAGACCGCCAAATGGAGATGTCAAGTCAGTGTTTATTTCAGTATGAGCCTGGGGTTCTTGGAGAGGTCAGAGATGGAGAAATAAATGTGAACACCACCCACAGATGTGTTCAAAGACCAGGACCTCTCAACGAGTTTCGTGTGCGTGTGACTCACCTGGGGTTTTTGCTAAAATGCATATTCTGATTCTGCGGTCCGGAGCGGGCTCTGAGAGTCTGCATTTCTAACAAGCTGTCAGGCGATACCAATGTTGTTGGTCCACAGACCACACTGTGAGTGGGAAAAATCTGGAACAGAAGTTGACAAACTATGGCCAGAAGGTCAAATCCAGCCTATGGCCTGTTTTCCTACATCCAGCAAGACAAGAGCGGTACTTTTATTTTTAAAAAGGTTAAAAAAGAAAAGAATATGTGGCAGAGACCACTAGTAGCTCACAAAGCCTAATATATTTATCTCTGGTCCTTGACGGAAAAGGTCTGCCAATCCCTGATCTGGTATGTCATCCAGGGACAGGAGGCACAGCGAGATGAGAGAGGGATGAGGTGGAGCCCTGAGCCAGGCTGTTATGACTTCCAAGTTGCCATGCCTAGTTTCAGTAGGAAAAATAAGAATATAATGCACTGTTTGTGTGCTTATGCTAAAAAGACAGTGAGCCCTGGAAAAGGTGAGCTAAAACCTGAGGCTCCCAGGTAGGAGTGTACAGCACTGGGGAAGAGGTGCAGACATCTCCGGGGCTGAATGGGGACGAACACCTGTCATCTTGATAATCCACTGCCTCTTTCAGCGCTTATCCTGGAAAAAAATGACAAAAATAGAAAGACGGGGCAGTAGCCACCACCCACTGTGTGCAGCACCGCAGAAGTACATGTGCTGAAAAAAATAATATGAAAGCGAGTTCTACAAGGTTGCTCTGTGGAGCAAAACCTTCTGAATCTTGGATGAGGGTGGGGAGGGTGGACAGAGAAAAGGGTAAGGCAAGGGCAGGGGGTGCAGCAGAATAACGGTCCCAGAGCCTGTAGTTTGGGGGCTGCCCCACGTCGTGTTTGACTACAGTGTTTGGCTACTGTCATGCTTCGTCACGCTGTGTTGACGACTATGTCTGCTTAAATGTCAGCGCCTGAGAAAGCAAATACAGCCGTCCATTTCCGTCAACGGGAACCGATCAATCTGGCCCTCTTTCAACAAAGGACCGGGCTCTTTTGCTTCCAGCCGTGAAAAGTTTGCTTGTCTCACATTAAGCATTCACATATATTTCCGAAGGACAACAAGAGAACCCTTTCTCGGGGGTGCGGAAAAGACTAAGTCTATCCAAAAGACTGTGGCAGGATATCCGTAAAGCCAAACTGTTCTTAAATGCTGGAGGACAAATAAAGACAGAAGGATATTATAAAACTGTCCTGGGCTGCGAAGCACGTTCCAGAATTTCCCGGTTGGAAGGAACCTTCAAGGTCAGCCAGGCTGCCTCGTGCTTCCCACGAAGCTGCCTCCTGAATCTAACCGTCTGAAGGAGAAAAGCTCACAGCGCGTCTGGCTTTAGGCATGGAATCTTCTTCTTCTTCCACTTCTTCATAAATTAAAAAATACTTGCAATCAAAACCAAGTCACTGCCTTTTAACCCACACACCCCTGCCCTTCTCAAGTCCTTCGTCAATCACACTGTCTCCCCCCTAGAAAGTGAGTTCCTTCAGGGAACTAACTGATCTTGCAGCACCCAGCACACGGCTCATTCCACAGCCGCGTGGTGAGCAAGTCCTCAGTCGACTAAAAAGATCTCAGTTTCTCTGCCACCTTTTTGCCGTGTGATCTTAGACACACAGCATTAACCTTCCCACATCGCATTTTCCTCACCTGTAAAGTCCTATCGCGATAGGGCTATTTTGAAGACTAAGTACAATGACACATGTAGAGTACTTAGAATGGTGGCTAGCACAACAGTAAGGGTTTCATAAGTGCTGACAATCATTATTACTCAATTAGTAGATGAAACCGTTCTATCCTATGAATCACACTCTCACCCCAAAACACATCACACCAGAACTGGGTTTCTCAACCTCGGCACCGTTGCCATTTCTTTGTTGTGGAGGCCCAGCCTGTGTTTTGTAGGATATTTGGCAGCATCTCTGGTCTCCACCTTCTAGGTACCAGCAGCACCCCACCTCCCCAGATCTGACAGCCAAAAATGTCTTCAGAGATTGCTCCTTCCTCCATAGGGAACCACTGCACTAGAATATGCAAATCAGTTGTGGAGTGGTCACCACACCCCCTAATTCCCCACCATCCCACTCTCCCCACAGGCAGCCACCTCCACCCCACGTGCTCACCACTCAGTTGCCTTGGAGGGAACAGGTGATAGGTGCTGTAGATATCATTGGAGAACTGCAGCTGGAGCTCAGGGCTGCCCTTCAGGAGCTGGGCAACGTGGTCCACCTGAAATGGTGTCTTCTCCAGGATCACAATGGCATCCTCTCCGTCCCCATCCCCAGAAGCCTCATTAACCTGTGGGTGAGACACCATCAGTGGGCCCAGGGGCAGAAGCACAGGTGAGGCCTGGAGAGCAAAGGTAAAAGATGTAAAAGCTCCCAGGGCCTCTGCAATCCCAGCACCTGGGATTTCCTTCCCTGCAGTCTTCCCTCTGGGGAAGTCTAGCCGATGGCGCCCATGTTTCTTCTCCCAGAGAAGGTATCTCATCAACCCAAATCCTTGTGGCAGCTCTCACATCCTCCTTCTAAACGATGCAAAGCTTCTCAGCTGTCTTCTATTTTAGGCTCACAAGGCCTCTGTCAAATTCTCCCCATTTTACAGACGAAGAAACTGAGGTCCAGAGAAGACTGCTTGCCCAAAGTCACACGAATAGTCAATGTTGAAACAGAAACTAGAATCTGAGTATCCCAACAGGCTTCTAGGTCGAAGGTTCTCATGGCTAAAATCTTCAGCAGGTGCTGCAGACTGAAGACAGGTAGGGGTGAGAGAACCAGACAGAACCTTGTAAAAAACAAGTTGCAGGGACTTCCCTGTCAGTCCAGTGGTTAAGACTCCACGCTTCCAATGCAGGGGGCGTGGGTTCAATCCCTGGTCTGGGAACTAGGATCCAGCACCGCCAAAAAAAAAGAGAGAGACACAGAGAGGCATGGAAGCCTCGGCAGAAGCCTCGGCCAGGTCCCCCTGATGCTCTCAAAAGTGAGAGCTCCTGCCAGGAGTTCTGGAGAACCCTTGGCCAGCGTCCTCACTAGTTCTTGAGGTGGTCTCCAGTCTCTCCTCAGCCCCTGCTGGAAAGCTGAGCACATGGCATTAGAGGCAGCGGTGTCTGCCTACCTGAAGATACTCGGCTCTCCTGAAGACCAAGGATGGTAACTTTCATCACTACGTCCCCCGCACCCAGCTCAGTGCTGGACTGTCAGAGCGTGATATGCGGAACTGAATCACCAATTTAATAAACTGTCTCCTCGGCTGGGGCTGGAGTTCTTTATAGCAAGGATCAGACCTCCCAGTCTCTATGTCCCTACCTGGGGCCTGGAATAGCAAGACCGTCCGGCAACACTTGCTGGGTTCCTAGCAACTTCCAGGTTTAATGAATGACTGATGACTGCTTAGGGACTTCAACATGTGATTATGAATCGGCAATACACTCTACAAATGTTAGGTTTTTTTCGTAAAAGACGAATTAGGAAAATTAGCCCTACGCGTGTTAATTCCCTTAATTTCACAGGTAGTCTTGCCTCCTCCACGAACTAACCCCCCTGAATTTTAGTGCACTCTGCCTTCCCCGCTCCCCACCGAGGAATGTGCTTGGTATTTTCCGAAGAATCTAAAAAAAGAAAAAAAAAAAAATCCGCCTCCGAGGCGACGATTGGGTCACTCCTTCCCGCATCCCCTCCCCAGGGCTGCCTAATGGTACCTTCCCGTGTAGGAAAATGATTTTGTCCCGCGCAGACTCCCTCAGCACTTTTTTCACTCTAAAGCCGGAGAAAGGTAAGCGGACAGGGGCGGAGGTACCATTCCCAACGCCCGCTTCTTTCCCCTCTGTGCTGAGCGCCTCCGCCTCCTCGGCATCCACTTCGCGCTTTCTCTTGTTGGGCTGCGGCGCTGTGTCCGCCATGCTGCCCGGCGGGAGGTGTGCGCCTGCGCGAACCCGGCCGCGGCCCCGCCCCTCCCGGCCGCCTCCTCCCACCTCAGCCAAGGGGCGGTGACTACAACTCCCGACGTGGTCCGCGCCGAAGGCCGCATCCCTTCCGGCCTTAGGGAGCCTCGGAGCGCTGATCCCTCGGATCCACCCGGAACGAGCGTTTTAATTCAAGTTACCTCCCCTTGGTCCCCTGGTGCTAGCCGGCCCGAGTGGAGGCCGGTGCTGAGGGCAGCGAGAAGGCAACAAGTCCCTAAAGAGGCGGGCTAGAGAGGCTGCAGGGGAGAGGGCTGCCCCAGCCTCCCAGGGGCAGGAGCCAAAAGACGCCGTTTGGACTCAATGCGTTGACACTTTGGTTGAATGCACATTTTAATCAGAATTACACCCACATTGATTAGAGTGGAAGGGATGTTTCAGAAATAAATCTGTTGAGCCAATCTATTTCTTGGTCAATTTGTTTTTAGAGCAAGCCCTTAAATCATTTCCAGTTTTCACCCGTTTTCATTTTACAGAAATGTTCATCCTATTCAGTTCTCAGTACTTTTGGCTGAAAAGAAAGGTAAGTGAACAGGGACTGAAATACATTTCTAAAACCTCCAGCCTGGAGGCTCCTGCCCCTCTGTATCCACATTACTGAACCGAGTTTGTGTGTGCTCCCCCCAGCCCACCAGTCTACCCACCCTGGGTTGCGGTGAAGGAAAGTAGCAAGGCTCTCAAGGTAGGGCCAAGCAAGGAGAGTGGGCAGCTCATGCTCAGAAGACTTGAACTCCCTGATGACTTTCAGAGATGCGATTTTAAAGACAAGATGAGGGAGAGGGTCATGGGGTGCCTGATAGTTCCTGGACTTCTTCTGATTGGTTGGTGGTGATGTAACTAGGTGGTATTTCTGGAGTCAACATCAACCTTCTAGTTCCAGAGAGGCTGGGAGTCTACGCAGTTATGGTCAGCACGCGGTTTGCAGTTAACTTCTTCCACCTGGTGGGGACTTCAGTCTCTGCGAAATAACTCAGGGATATGGCTCAGGATATTATCTCTAGCCCTGGAGGAGGAACTAAGGGTCCTTGACTTTGTTTTATGGCTAAACTATTATTATTTTTGTCTTGTTTGACTGTTTTCCTTTGTCTCTGCATTTCCTCACTTCTCTGATTCAGCTTGCTCTTTGGAACTCTGGGAAGGCCTAGGAGGCTGAAGGTTTTCTACAGACTTGAGATGGGGGTAGTGCTGGGGTCTGCTCCCAGGAAGGCCTCACAGTGTCCTGCTCCGTTTCACCCACTTTGACCATGTGTCCACCGTGCTACCAGGGTTGTGATTTGCAGCATGAATATGATTCATCCATCGGAGTTTCTTTTCTTTTTTTGGCCATGTAAAATTTTTACTGATAATTTCTCTGCAACCTCCCGGTGCTCGAGCACACCCTTCCAGGGACCAATGGCACATCAGCATCATCTCCTGAGCAGTGAGCTCACCCCTGCTGAAACCTGCCAACTGGAAAAAAAACGCACAATGTAAAAGTTAAAAGTTATATTTTATTCAGGGACCTTACTGAGGACTACAGCCAGGGAGACGGACTGTCAGGATAGCTCTGAGGAGCTGTTCCAAAGAGGTAAGGGAGGAGCCAGGATATATAGGAGTTTTTGCTGAAAAAAAAATGTAGTTGAACATCAAAAGGTTACTATTAGGGGACTTCCCTGGGGGTACAGTGGGTAAGACTCCACACTCCCAATGCAGGGGGCCCCGGTTCGATCCCTGGTCGGGGAACTAGATCCCGCATGCATGCCACAACTGAGGATCCCCCATGCCGCGATGAAGGTCCCATGTGCCACAACTAAGACCCGGAGCAGCAAAAATAAATACATAAATAAATACTATAATTAATTAATTAATTTAAAAAAGATTACTGCTAATCACAAAAAAGACATCTCAAGTTAATGATTTTAGTGCTTGTCTGTGTATGGGAAAATACAAGAGTCTGGGCTCCTTGGAATTATTCCTTAGATATGCATCTTAACTATCTAGGGCCAGTATCCTCTTTTTCTCCATCCTGAATTCCCCTCAGGTGCACCATGGGGTGGCTGCGTGGCTGATGGCTTGATGGTGGCAGTATTTGTTGTTTACTGAAATGGCAGGCGACATTTTTTTTGTCAGCAAACCGTTGGTATTTTCTACTCACCACCCTTACTTTTTAAATTTTTTTTAATTTGGTGGGAGGGAGCATATTGGGTTTTCAAAGTCCTGTTGGGTGAGCTTGCACTAGTCCAGTTAAACTTATAGCACTTTCTCTAGCTCCTCTTCCCCGTCCCCGCATAAGCATGAGTGACCAGCTGGGCTATTAGCAAGACTGGTTGAAATATGGTGGCTTTGGTGGAAACTTCAGGAGAGTGAAGTCTGTGCTTTCCAGAAAAATAATTGTCACTCCAAGTGAAATTTTTCTTTGAAACAACTTTTTTAAAAAAGAAAAGCAACAGCTCTCAGCCTTAGTGACATCTCCTGAGAAACCTCCGTGCCATGAGAGCGAAGTGGAGGAAGAAGCAAAGGTGCAGGCTCAAGCACAAAAGAAGAAAGATGAGGCAGAGGTCCCAGTAAAATCGTACACCCATGGAGGCCACAGGAGCAGAAACAAGGGAAGCCAGAGGCCAGGGATGCTGGTAGAAATTGTTGGGCTGCATACCTACTGTCTAGAACTTGTCTCAGTGGATCTGGAACATGTATGCCCATTCTGATTGCCTCGACAACCTTTGAGAGACCCACCTTGCTCACATCAAAACGACCCCTTTTGGTCCTTTGCCCTGGACCTGTGTCATTCTGTACTAGTTCTGTTCTCAGTTGCGGCTGAATGTAATGTGTACAGTAAATCATCTCTTTTGCTGTCTTAGCTGAAGAAAAAAAAAGAAAAGAAAAGAAGCATACACTTGGCCCTTGAACAACACGAGTTAGAACTGCAGGGTCTCCATATACTCAGATTTTTTTTTAATAGTAAATACTGCATTACTACGTGAATCCACAGATACGCGTCCAGAGGGTCAACTGTAGAGTTGTAGCTGGTTTTCTACTGCACAGAGGGTTGGCGCCCTTAAGCCCCACATTGTTGGAGGACCAACTGTATAATGCTAATTAGAATATGCATAAGGTCAGAATTCTACTCATAAGAGGGCCTGGCTCAAGGAAAAGATGAGCTCATAGGGAGCCTCAGCCCCCAGAGGACCTGCTGCAATACCAGACAGCAGAGTGTAAGGGACCTTTACAGCAGTAAATCTTCACTTGGCTTCAGAGGCATTTGTCTGCTGATAATTTTTTAGTTCAGCTTGTTTGGAAACATTAGAAGGCTCTGCACTGTCCTATCCAATAGCCATTAGCCACATGTAACTTTATATTTAAATTAATTAGAATTAAATGAAATTTAAAATTCAGTTCCTCAGTCATACAACCACGTTTCAAGTGCTTGATAGCCACGTACGGCTCGCATGGCTCGTATCACATTGGACAGCACAGATGTGGAACATTTCCATCACCACAGAAAGTTCAACTGGACATTGTTGTATTAGAAGGTTGTTACTGGGAAGCCCTAGTCTATAAGCATCAATCCTTCCATTTTCTTGCGGAATCTCAAAACTTCTCCCTTTTATTTTACTTATTTGTTTAGTTTAGTTTAAAGAAGGACTAGACACTTCCACTTCAGGTAGTATGGCAGACTAGATATTCTAAAAACAATCAGCTAAAAACACCTAAACATTCTGGATGCAAAATTTAAAACATCCCTTTGGTTACATTCCTGTGCTCCCAAGAAAATAAAATTTTCAGAAACAAAAAATGTGGGAGCACAAATCTATAGAATAGTAAGTGGGTATTGAAGCTGAAGTTCTAAGGGTGATGGCTTGTTTCTAGAAATCTAGAGCCTCGGGCTTTAAAATGTGACGTTTAAGGCGCAGATCTGGGCTCATGCAAGCGAGGAGTTGGAAGAGAAAACTTCCCAGCGAGCCAAGATCTCTAAAGGGCCCCCACCTCAATGAAAGGGCCAACTACTTAAAAAGTAAAAGAAAAGCTGCCCTACTAAAGGAGACAAGATGTTTAGGAAGCTTACCTGCCTCAACATCTGGCTCCGGAGGGGAGAAGAAAAAAAAAAAGACAAAAACCCCTGAAAATTTGTAATCACAGGCCAATCTCCATGCAGGTTTAGAATTCAGATTCATACTGCCTACATGATCCGGGAATTCAAACTGAAAAATCTATTTCAGCCAGTTTTGTATTCTTCACTGTTTACGCCAAATCGACTCCAGAAGAAATGAAAAATCTAAATAGATCTATAACTCTTTAAGATACAGAAACTGGAGTTTTAAATCCGCCCCACTCTCCCCCTTGCAAAACACGCTAGGTCCAACTGCATTTGCAGATTAGTCTACTAAACATTCAAGGAGCAATTAATTCCAAGCTTTAACTCATCAATGCATAGAAAAAAGGGACCACTCCCCAATTATTTTAGAAAGCTGATATAACCTTGGTAACAGAGCCAGAAAAGGATAATACAAGAAAGGATAATTATGGGCCAATCTTACATACGGATATACATGTAAAGTCATGAAGAAAATGTTAGCAATCTGAATCCTGCAATTTAAACAAAGGTAATAATACATCACGATCAAGATAAGTTTACCCCGGGAATATAAGACCAGCTTAACATTAGAAAATCTAATGTTATTCACTGAATTACCATTTAAAAGGGGGAAAAAAACATCATTTCAGTAGATGCGGAAATTTTAGAATATATTTCAAACCCATTCAACATAAGTAAAACTCATAATCAACTAGAAACAACAGGAAACTTACAGCTTGTTAAAAAATATGTACCAAACCCAAAACGTACAACAGATACCACGTATAATGGTGAAATGTCTGAAGCATTCCCTTTGAAATCATAATTTAGACAAAGTTGTCACTTTCAATATCTTACTGGTGGTCCTAGGCAGCAGAGAAAGATAAGTTTTTGTTTTGTCTTGCAA